CATGGATATATACGTTTAAAATCGATCCAAGGATCAATATTTTATAGCACAAGCTGTCTTAACTTATAAACATTTAACTGATTCAAATAAGATCATGAAACAAATCGAAGTACTCACGAGCCCAGTTTAGATATTAACGTTAGTCTGTATCTTGCTGATGTAGCTAGTTGGGTCAAGTACGTAGGTGGGTAACTTCATCGTGTATGCGTTATTTATGTGCGCGCGCGCGGACGAAAATGTATTACTCTCCGGCTTATTATAAGTTGACTTTTTATTTGGTCCTAATTATCAATCCACTTATATTTATGCATTTTTTTAGATAATCCTTCATGATAGTTTTAACCTATACTTAATAGTAAGGATATTTTAGGAATGACAACACTTATTTATTATAAATGCTTAACTTACTTCCTTAATCTCCTCAAATAAGTCAATTGGGTCTTATATTTATTACTTTTTTTTTCCCAACATATAATTTAAGAATCGTCAGATCTCTCATCAACGGAATTTCGCCATCGCTGGTGGTAATTTAAAAAAAAAAAGGGTTAAGGTCTAAATTTTAAAAAAAATGATGAAGGTGGAAATTTATTTCAGAAGCTTAAAATCGTATTAGTATAAATAAAAAAAAAAACTATTGGGTGCTGAGAGCTCTTGAGTGAAAGCTTTTTCAGCGCAAGTTTACGCCTTAATCCAAAAAAAATATTGTTAGACGCATCAGTTGATGATAATTATTTTAATTCACGTTCAAAACTTTAATCTTGTTTTAAAGAAATCAGATCTCTTTCGCTCTATCGAACGTTCTTGTTTTTTCTTTTATTTTATTAACGAACATAGAAGAGATAAAGCTACAATCCATCACGTACGTCCGATCTTTAAGGTGCCAGGAAAAATACAACTGGCTCAGACAGCGCTAGGAAATTAAAAGAGCTTTAAAGGCTTTTTCTCGCAACTGATTCATTAATTTGTCTTTTTCGATAAATCCAGGAAAATCAAAGCCATCCAGAAGAATCAGTCAAGAATTAATATAATTAATGAAGATATATTAGAGATGCAATCTCTGTGGGTGAGCATTGTCAGATTACACACGCACAAACACACACATGTGAAATCCAGCTTGTTTCCGTGCGATGGCTAGCCGATAAACCCGCTGTAAATATACTTCACAGAGCGTGTAAATTGAAACATGTTTTTTTTTTTGGCCAGAAATTGGAACATTTTAGTCTAATAGCTAGCTACTCTAATATATACAGGTCACTTTTGTTTTCACGTTAAGTGGGTGCTTAATTAAGGAGCACTGTAGCTTGCTAGTTTAAAGTGATTGGCTGTCTGGTGAGTTGTTAATTATATAAACATTGTTAACTATTAATTAATTACCCCGTGTGTGTGTGTGTGTATGGGGGGTTCATCGAACCTTTTGCATGTGAAAATATAGTTCATTGACCAAAATCTGTTATATGGCTAGAGTCGTGGGCAGTGATGAAGAACATGAAAAGATATAAAAGGAATCAGGTTGTCTTCTTGTACAACTCATTTAGACCATAGAAAAAAGAAGAGAGATCAGCCATCTTCAGGGTTTTCAAACTTACGATCGGAAAAAGACAAAGCTTGATCGATTAGAAGTGACTACGTGGCAAATACAGTCTTCAACAGAATCTACTTGTAAGCCTGTTTCATCGATTTTGTTGTTGAGGAGATATATATTATAATAGAATTCTAGTTGCTGTTTAAGGAGAATGACAGTTGGTACTCATATATAATTGGTTGTTTCTTGGATTCTTGATCATGGAAAATATCATTAGTAAGATTTTCTCATGCTTAGCTCCATTATTTAATTCATGCAGTCACGATGATATATAACAATGGTTGGTAGTTTGTGGATTATAAAAATATACTTACGAAAATGGAGAATAAAGGTCCATTTGGTATGAGTAAAACGGAGGGGAGGAGAGAAAAAATTTTAATGAGTTTATTTTTTTAAAAAAATGGTAGTGTTAAAAGTTTTTAATTATTCTTATTATTCTTTTATATTATATCTTTCTTTATTAAAATTTTAAAACTCCACTTCTTTAATTTTTTAAATCGAGTTCATTAAAATTTTTTCTCCTCTTCTCACTTCCATTTCTTTCATACCAAACAAGTCCTAAGTGTTCATTTTGGACAAATAACTTGTAAGAGGTTTTCAAATAAACACTGTGCACGTCAGTCGAAATTAATTCTTTCTTCTTAGTATCCGTTAAAAAGAAAGAAAGAAATTCCTTCTTCTTAGGGGTATGTATATCTTCTAACTAATGGCCATAAGAAAAAAAATCGATACGTACATTTCTTCGCTGTTAAAGAGTCGATTACACAAGGGAATGGCTATTTAATATTCGATTGCCTGATCTTTTGTTCACGTGCTCATATTCAAATAAAAAGGTAGAGTGAAACAATGACTGAGGTTAAAGCCCGACAACGATAGAATAAACAAACATGCGTGCAAATAATGTTGCCAGCTTTGGTCTGCTTATAATTTCGCTTTGTATCACTCCTGCTCTTCTAGCTGACTCCAATGTCCTTTGTATTTATAGCTTACCAATATCAACACGAATTAATATATTAATGTAAAGACTAAATTATATTATGCAATTTTTTAAAAATATTTTATGTTGTATGCAAATAACCTTCATAACTTTCGAAGCCTATAATAAATCTCTCGCTGATTTTTACATTTATACATATAACTCTCATCATGCTAGTTTTGTTCATTATTTACCTGCAAAATAACTTGATGTTTAAAGGGGTACTGTTACACACACACGCGCGAAATAAAGTATGAGAAGGTATAAAATTATCATGATAGTTTGGGGCGCTATCTCTGCAAATTTGAAAGTTTAGAGGACTTACTATTAAATTTTAAAAGCTAAAAAAATTATTTGGATATGATTATAAGTTCAGTGAAGTTTTATGTAATCTATCCAAATATAAAATAAAAAACTTATATTATCAAGTTACAATTTGCAAATAGCAAGATTTGTTCCTTTATTTGCATAAATAAGTAGCCTAATTAAGCATATTAATTTTCCAAAACTTGTCCCCAGAATTATTTTGCACCTAGCCTCTCCATTAGAGTTAGTGAGTTTTTTTTTTTTTAAAAAAGAAAAATATAACGAGGACTCGTAAAGTAAAACCTAGGTGGACGCCATTGGGGGAGCGGTTAGGTTGGGTTTTTTTTTTTTTTTTTTTGCTACAGAGGAGCGGTAGGCTTTTGGATTTTCAACACGTCATGGCTTTTCAATCCCAAAGGAAAAACGTTTCTTAGCGTTAAAAACAGACCTAATCTTCTTGGACTCATTCATTAAGCCCACATAAAATAGCTGTTGCAAAGCAGGGCCCATAATTAGATAATCACCATTGACAGGAAAAAAAAAAAGGAACAAGAAAAAAAAAAAGGAGTTGGGGGAATTTTTAAAACGAGCAGTATATCAAGTGTGATTCAATGCCACCTTTATTCAAATAAATAGAGCACATGGTTACTCTGTTCCTAATTTTGCTTGTATTCTTCTTTTTTTAAAAATCGTCGGGAAAATATTTTCTATTTTTCCAAAAAAGAGGCGTCAATCTTGTTGTGAACCTTCAAAATAATAGATGTCTGCGTAAACTAAGCTCTTCTGTTCATGATCGTATATACAGAATCATGTTCAAGGGCCAGAAGGTTTCCTGCACGCACCATAGCATATTAGCATATTCCGAAGAATCTTTGATCCCATGATGACAAAATTAGTGTTCTTGCCCACCCGCTTTTGGTTCAAATTAAAAAAGCTATCCTTCTCCCATGCGGAGCCACGCCTAAAATATTATTCAATTTGATATACTACAAAATAGATTAAAATATTTATATTATCTCCTGTTTTAATTATAAGATATCATTTATAATTTATAAGTAAGAGTGAGGGTAGTATTACACCGACGCAGCGTAAAGGCATGTCCAATCAGACAACTGGTGTTCCCATCTAAACTCAGCGGGTTATATTACTGTTTCTCCAATCCGGCGCCGTCAAGGTAACAGCTAATCAAAACCTTGAACAAAGTTGCATCAGGAAAAGAAAACCTTGAAGAAAGAGGTAATTTCGTATTTATGTGAATAGTCTTTTATCAAACTTTAAATCTGAATATATTCAAAGTAAATTTCTTGGGCTAAAATAAAATTGTCTGGACAATGAAAAGACATAACTTAGTCAAGCCATTCACGTAATATTGGGTGGCTGTTGCAAAAGGACGTCACGTGCGCTGCTTGAGAGAACACGAAGCGAAAAATGATTGGTCCACGGCAGAGACTCCTTCAAGTTGGGAACTGCGGGGCGCGAAGGAAAGGTTGGTTACTTCCGGCTCTTTATCCAGATTAAAAAAAAAAGGAAAAAAGGTTGATTGTGGCTTCTCTGGCCTCGGCCTGCGGGCGGCTGCTTTCCCGCTCTCAAGAGCGCATTTAGATCGAACAGCAAAACGGGGGCAAGAGAGATTATTGGTCAAAATTGATTTTTCATTATACTATTATATTCTCTCTCATCGTCTCTCGCACCGCATCTCACCGTACACGCCATGTCCGCTGCATTTACTTCTTACCGCATTTTATTGAATCCCACCTTTGTCCCCACTCCCGTTTCAAAGCTTCGTTCCTCGCGTTCTTCTTCCATTCTTTGTTTCTCGTCTCGCTCAGGTACTCCTCTCCTCTTCTCCTTTCTCCATTGCTTCCACTTCTCTGCTGTTGTTATTTTCTTCTATACGAAAGCTCATCCACCTCGAATTTTTTTTCCTTTTTATGCCCTTGGTCTTGTTGGTCACTTAGCCAGAAGATGCTTGCTTCGAGCCGTGACTTCGTGTGATTGTTTTCTATTGGTGGTTCATGATAACTCAGTTTCGGATTAAATTTGGACTCGTTTAAAGTTGATCCGGTGATTTGATGGTTTTTGGTGCAAGGATTAGTGTTTATGTCTTTATGATGCTGAATGAGTATTTGAGGAATTGTTCATTTTCGATTCCGTATGAATGCGCTGGTGAGGGGCGCTGGTGCTATTGATCCCGCTTTTTCTTAATGTGGAAGGAGTGCATGAACAATGGATTGTCGACCGGTTATTCTTAAACAGTTTCCCTCACGTTCTTTGATTTTGAATGTTCTGTTTGCAAAAAAGGGAGACTGCCGGATTTCGTACACCTTTCGTCGTTTTGGAGTGTATAGAGCGCTGACGCATGAATTTAGGAGAACCGCCGTTTTAGTTTTCAGTTTTGATGGATGAACAATTAAACAGACGCATTTTCCCTTATAAAATGTTGTTTCTAAGCCTTTTCTGCTGAAATTACGTGGTCATAAATTATTACGTTCTACGAGGCTTGGAGCGTAGTTCTTATATGCAATATACAACATCGGTGCTGTCCTCTGTGGTTGTAGCATGTGGCCGAGTATGCTGAATAGCAATTCCTCATTTGCTTGGTTGTGCACACACTATTTTATCACACGCATGTGCTTGCCGACTAGTGCGTCAAGTAGCTTCTTGCATAGACAGGTGTCCTAGTAACGTTCAAAGTATATTGACGTCGACGTGAAGTTTTGCTTTGACATTATTGATATCGTAACCCTTGACTACTGGATGTCATTTCATGTCACTGCAGATATGGATACCAACGAAGGCCTAAGTGTCTATCCATTGCACCGTTGTAAAACTCTTCACCTGGTTCGTGGCCACCTTTATGTTTGAATTTTTGTTTCCTGGGCCGTTGCTTATGATCCTATTCGGAACATATGGTTTGAAAACGAGAACCTTCATTGACCTGTGATTTTCTGCGACGACTAATTCTAGCTACAGAACTTCTATGTTGAAGCTTACTATTCATTTCTTTAAAGCATTGATATAATATCACGTTCCAACATCAATGTGGTAAAATATAATTTTGACTGAAAATATGAGATGGCCTTTCGAACGAAATATAAGATGGTACTTCAAGCTAAATATACTTCTTTCATCAAATTTGGAATTGTATTAAAGTAGTTTGATGGAGACAAAATTCCATTAACTTTAAAATTTGAAATTGGTTGTTGTCATATTGGCTATCTATAGTACAGATACAGAGTTCCATAGCTGATGCCTGTGTTTGGAAATTTTTTATTAAAAAATGTTTTGTTTCTTAGTGCCACCTTTTGTTTTAAAGACCAGTAATGTCTTATTTAAGCTACTACACAGGTTAGACATGCACAAGGGGTTCACAACGTAGCAGGCGAAAAAAACCATGAAGCATACATGTCGTATGACTATTTTGATGCACAACTAACCCCTCTTGGCTGGAAGCAGGTGATCTTGAGTTAGAACATTTTATTGTCATCTTATCAAGCAAAGCATTTCAGCTGTGATTTTGTGTTGTATGGAATTTCTTAAGGAAGTATTTTTGAGTATAAACAAGAAAGTCGTTTCATGCTTTCAGTAGAAAATGGGTATCATAGCCATATGTTGCCATAATTTTATTTTCAGGAGGGAAATGTCGACCAGGATGTGTCCTAGAATAAAATTCCAGTTTGTTCTCTTGCTGAGATATTCCTAGTCAAATATTTGTTATATGCGCATTATAACAGGTTGATCATCTGCGGGCGCATGTTCAAGCATGTGGTCTTTCCAAGAAAATCGAATTAGTGATTTCTTCCCCCTTGTTAAGGTATAACTTTATTAATTGGTAATCCTGTTGCGAATTGTATAGTGCTCACTTTGTAGAGATCTGTTGCTGACTTGCTTCTATTACTGTACCGCTGCCTTTATTTTTATAATGATACTCTTCAGCAATGTTAGTTGGAAAAATGGATTCTTCGTGCCATTCACCATAAAGGCCTAAAATTGATCTGAGTGGATATACCGGTAATTAGAAACCATGGAAGGTAGACTGCAACAGATAACCATAAGATGACAGAAATATGAGATTGGAATTAAGTTTGCATTTGGTGGATGGAAAAAAAGATTTGAGAAAAGGGAAAATGTGAAGGATAGTGTTTTTAGTTATGTTTGACAGATGGGAAAGTGACTTTCTTAGAAAGAGAGCTTCTCATGTTTACTGGAGAGAATTTTCTCATTCTCTCTTTGTTTGGTAGGGACTCTAGAAGAAAACTGAGGAAAGGAGTGACAAGTCTGATACTTTTAATTTTTGTCTATTGATCTGGCATATGTATGTGTATATATGTAGTATTTGTCTGATATCTATCGATATGACATCTTCCAATTACTTTTTAGTTCTGAACATCTGTGTACTCTGCGTGAGTGTTGTTTTCTGATTCCTTTTTCTTTCTTGAAAGAGGAAGAAAATCTGGAAATGATAGTTTTGTGAACAACTCATTCTGTCATGCACTATAATAATTAACTTGAAGGTTATTTATAAGAGTCTTGGTGGGGATTTATCCTTTGAGCAGTTGATAAATGATAACCATTATGTGTACTCTGCTGTGTTATGCTGGTATTCCGCAGACATGTGTTTAAATGTTTTGCGCATCAGTGAATAAACAAGACGTCTTCCATAGCTGGAAGACACTGTAAGCTGAATTGGTAATTACTGCATTTCAGGACCATGCAAACAGCAGCTGGAGTCTTTGGTGGTGAAGCATACACTGATGGGATTGATGCACCTCCTCTGATGAAGGAAAATGTGGGACATAGTGAACATGCTGCTATTTCTAGTCTGAATTCCCCTCCATTTATAGTGATTGAGCTTTGTCGGGAGCATTTGGTATGTAATATTGGTAATCTAAATTTGGCTTGATGAAAATTGTGTGGCTCTGTATATTTAGGTAACTACTAGTAATTAACACCGACCTTTTCTTTGCTTTCATGGATTCTTTTTGTTGCTATCTGTCTGCTTTGATTCTTTTTGCATCTGGAAAACTTCAGGAGAAAACAGCATTAGTGATTGGGAAATGTACTAGATGATCTACCTAAATTTAATCCATAAGTTGTATATCTTCTACCTGCTCATCGTGAATTTTTGGCTTCTTAAGGAGAATAATATGAGCTCATGCATGCTAGTTCCAACTTTGGCCCAGGTACTGTTTGGTCCTTCATGAAATTGACTTCTCATCTCTAGTTCTCGTATTCTGGGGCTGACTGCCTCACTGATCATGCGGTTCCCTGTTAACTTCAGCTCATTTGCCAACTAATAACTATGATGGAGAGAGAGAAGATAAAAGTTTACTGTATAAATTTATTCATAATCCGCTGTTTGGAATATCATTTGGGTTAAACATCCTTTACATTTGCGTCGTGCTTTACTTTTGTAACTCAGGGACTTCATCCTTGTGATAAGAGAAGAAGCATTCATGAGTACCGGGATATGTTCCCTGCAATTGACTTTTCGCTGGTAAGTGATGTATCTTGATTGATTTCTCATGATGTGAACGAGAGCTACTATAACTATGTTTTTTCTGATGCTTAAATTGGTAGTAGGTAATCCAAATTTTGTTGGATGTATTCATACCTCATTTAAATTCATTTTAGATAGAAAGCGACGAGGACATTTTGTGGACACCTGACATTAGAGAGAAGGATGAAGAAGTTGCTGGTAGGGGGCTGAAGTTTTTGAAATGGTGAGCGAATGCTTTCATATTCCAATTCGCCTTTCTTGTCTATTTATGCATAGTTAAGAACATGAAAATCTTCATTAAGCCATAGCATGGAACCAAAGAGGCTTCACCGTATTGTTATGATTATAGCGGTCCTATATTTCTGCAATTCACGCTTAAGTACAATCCTGGAATGCATGTAGTTGATCAATGATCATTAGCGGTGTTAGATTTTAAGTATGTGGAGGATGGCACCAAATCCACGGTTTGGATAGATCTCGCATTTTTCATCTTTTCATCTCCAATATTCGAGTAAATTATGTGCGTGTTACCCATCAAAGGCCGGGAATGGCCATAAACCAGGGGTCTGGCCTTTTTTCTCCCCCTGATTTCCTTATTTGGCACAGGTTATGGACACGTAAAGAGAAGGAGATAGCGATTGTTTCTCACAGTGGTTTTCTATTCCATGCACTGAGCGCTTTCGGAAATGACTGCCATCCGACTGTGAAGAGTGAAATATGCACACAGTAAGCATTCCTTTGAAATAATCGCTAAACTTGATTGTACGGGTTACAACATGTGCGTTCGATAAATACGCTTTACCTTGAGTTTCTAATTTGCACTGAAGATACAATTCCTATGCTTTATGAAAAGAAAGGAAATGTAAAAGAAAAGGGAAGAATCTTAACCTGGCACTTGCTGATATTTTCCGGATATGATTATTTGTGCAAGCGGATGTGCTGAGACAAGTCTCTGGTATCTATATCTGTAACTTTGGCATTTCTTAATTGAATCGACTTGTTTAAATATAGGAGAGTTTATTTTATGAAGTTCTTTACGGTGCTGTTAAACATTAATCATTTCACATGAGGAAAATCCTAATCTGTAACATGATGGAATTGTTTACCCGGTGTCATATTTTCAATACTACATCTTTTAAATTATCATTCTTTCAGGATTAAATAAAAACTTTCCCGATTTGCTTTGCAGCTTTGCTAATTGTGAGCTGCGTTCAATGGTTATCGTTGACAGAGGGTGAGCATTTTACACCCAGAACACACCTAGTTATCCATGCTTTAATGCAGAAAATTCATTTTTGAGTTTTACTTCTGCAGTTTGATTGGATCAGATAAGTCAACTACAAACTATCCTGGCAAGATTCCTCATGGCCTTGACATTCCTAGTGATATTGCTGACGACAAAAATACAGGGAATGGACCGAGCCAGTAATTGTTCTGAGTGACAACGTCATGCATGCATAATGCAAGTTAATTCTGATGCATAATGTATTAATTGCATTTATAGGAAGAAACTATGTCGTCATTTTTTCACAGGATTTAGAAAATTGGAAATCTCTTTTGGGCCATCTAGAGTATTGGAAATCTAGGTGCCGAAATTTGAACATAACAGGGATGCATGTAGACCATATTTTCTGCATGATTAACTTTCAATAAAATACTCTTAAATTTTTATGTGTGGCGAATATGCATGAATTTCATTTAGGTTTATATTTATTATTGTTGTTTATAAACTCAGGATTTTAAAATACTATTCTGAATCAGAATGACATTGGCTGCGATCGATAGACATGACAATTATTCAAATATAAAAAAAATTGAAAATAACGCTTAATCCAAATACGGACCTTCCCTTTTGTATTTTGTCGATTCTAGTTTCCTTTTTAATCTTTCCCGCAGCATAGATTTTCATTTTGAAGGATCACCATATATACAAATATAACATCAACTGACTCTTAACTTGAGAAAATGTCTATGGCTTGGATTCTTCAAGCATATTCTCCCATCACAAGTATAGAAATTAATCGAGAGATATTCCATGTTTATCGATGTGTCAGCCCTTTTGCATGTGAAAATATAGTTCATTGACCAAAATCTGGTGTGTGACTGTGGTCATGAGCAGTGATGAAGAACATGAAAAGATATAAAAGGAATCAGGTTGTCTTCTTGTACAACTCATTTAGACCATAGAAAAAAGAAGAGAGATCAGCCATCTTCAGGGTTTTCAAACTTACGATCGGAAAAAGACAAAGCTTGATCGATTAGAAGTAGACTACGTGGCAAATACAATCTTCAACAGAATCCACTTGGAAGCCTGTTTCATCGATTTTGTTGTTGAGGAGATATATATTATACTCCTCCAATCCTTACTATAAGACACATTTAACTAAGTTGATTAAATTAAAGAGGTCAGATAAGTTAGTTAATTATAAAAAATATGACACATTTTTTCTAAAATATCATAACCATCTTTCTTAATACTTCCTCTTCCTCTTCTACTTAATCATGGTTGAGGGAGTATCCCTAAGGGTAATTTAGAAAAAACTGATAAATATGAGAAATAGATCTTATATTTAGGATCAAAACTAACTCAACAATTAGGTCCCATATTAAGGATAAGAGGAGTAATAGAATTCTAGTTGCTGTTTAAGGAGAATGAGAGGTGGTACGCATATATAATTGGTTGTTTCTTGGATTCTTGATCATGGAAAATATCATTAGTAAGATTTTCTCAGGCTTGGTTCCATTATTTAGTTCATGCAGTCATGATGGTATATAGCAATGGTTGGTAGTTTGTGGATTATAAAAATATACTTACGAAAATAGAGAATAAGTATTCATTAAGGGGGTATTTGTATGTGTACAAAAGTATTTTTGAAAAATATTTTTTTGCAAATAGAGATAAATTTTTTTACATATTTACTCCGTATATCGTAACAACTTATAAGAGTTTTTCAAATAAACATTATGTGTACGTCAGTCAAAATTAATTCCTTCTCTTATTATCCATTTTTAAAAAAAATCGTTCTTCTTAGGGATATCTATGGCTTCTAATGGCCATAAGAGAAAAATGGATAGGTACATCTCTTCGCTGTTAAAGACTCGATTATATAGCGAATGGCTATTTAATATTTAATATTCGATTGCCTGATCTTTTGCTATTCAAGTAAAAAGGTTGGGTGAAACAATGATCGAGGTTAAAGCCCGACAACGATAGAATAAACAAACACGCGTGCAAATAATCTTGCCCGCTCTGGTCTGTTCATAATTTCGCTTTGTATCACTCCTGCTCTTCTAGATGATGATTATGAGACCCTGCTCACAAGGTTTGAAGAAGACGCCTTTCACATTACACTATGGTTACGTTTGGTAGAAAGCATTAAAAATAAGGGATTGAGATTGGGATTACAATTAAAAAAATCTATTAAGAGAGTGTTTAGTATAAGAGATTGTTTGATATATGGGATTAGCCAAAGCTATGTATGTGGGATTGGAGAATACCATAGGGGGAAGTGGTATTCCCCAATCCCACCTTTATGGGTATGCCTAATCCATATAACAAACAATTATTCATACTAAGTACTATTTTAATGATTTTTTTAATTGTAATTCCAATCTCAATCTCTCATTTTCAATGCTTTGTACCAAACTGGACCTATAGAAATTTACTTTGATATTGACAACTTTAACCTAGAATATGTCATGAACTTGTCCCTGAGTCATTAACCCATATGCAAAGACTACTGGAACATAATCATCAAAGAATTTACTTTGGGTCATATCCAAAGATAAGCAGGACCCGCTAGAAATCTGTTTTATGTCATGCATCTACTTTAACTTTATCTTTATTAAAATAGTCTGTCTGTTATAGTAATTAAAGTTATTTGTCTTGTTGTAATCATTAAATGTATCTTTGCCTTTATGTCATGTTGTAATGATGGTGTCGAAAATTTTTACTATTAAGTTTTGTTATGTTATGCCCCAGAACCTTTATATAAACCACGTTCTGCCATTAGTTATGGGCAGGGGTAGTTATAATAACTTTCTTGTATAATATTGGTGTGCTTTTGTCATGACTTCTCTCTATTTTTTTTTTAAAAGCCTCACTTATAATTCCTTTCTTCTATCTTCAGAGATTCTGAATATGCTCTGCACTTGCTTATCTAAGAGAATCTTGTGCATCAGAAATAGAATCTGATTATGATCCTTTAAGATGTGCTTAGTAACGACTTTTCCAATTATCCTGGATCTGGTATTCAAATATGGAAATCATAACGTGACCCGTTGATGAGTTGAGAATGAGTGGTCTTACCTGGACTAAAACTTTGGATATCATACTATATTAACTTGGTTTGTTTTAGTTAACACCCCCGAAGTGCAGCCTTTATTCAAATAAATGGATCACATGGATAATCTGTTCCTAATTTTGCTTGTTTTTTTCTTTTTGTTTCCTTTTTTAAAAAAATCGTCAAGAAAATATTTTCTATTTTCCCCAAAAAAGAGGCTTCAATCTTGTTTTGAACCTTGAAAGTAATAGATGTCTGCGTAAACTAAACTCTTCTTTTCATGATCATACATAGGGATGATTGTACATAAGGATGTGCAAAAACCCAATGACTTGATCCAGTTCAATCCAACTCGAAGTGGTTCGGTTTGGTCCATTCCAGTCCAGATAAATTATATAAATGAAATCAGATTAGACTGAACCAGACTAGTTGGTTGAGTTGGAGTGGTTTTTGGACCAAATGATCATACCACAGGGATTGCTCCGGTCCAGTTTAGATGAATTTTTTATTTTTCAATAATTTGTAATTTAGATGTCACCTTTAATTTTTTTAAAACGTTTTTAGAGATTTTTATATATTTATGATGAAGTTTTAATATTTTAAGATGAGTTTTATATGATTATAGGTATTTTTTACTATCTTAAATTATATTTATCATGTTGAAATCTTACTTCCTATAAAGGAAATTTTTTTTTTTAAAAAAAGAACATGGACTGCCTAGAACAGTCTACCAGTGTGGTGGATCAAATTCAGTCTAACCCGATCTCTGGTTACCACTAGATTGTATTAGATTATAAACTGTCAAACCTAACCTGACCAAAGATAAGACCAGACTTTAGATTAGGCTCTAGTCTGATCCTGTTTGTTCGTCATGCAGCCCCTAATCCTACATAGGGAGCCGTGTTCAAGAGCCAGGCGATTTCCTACACGCACTATAACATATTAGCATATTCCTAAGAATCCTGATCCCATGATGACAAAATTAGTGTCCCCGCCCACCTGCTTTTAGTTCAAATTAAAAAAGCCATCCTTCTCCTGTGCCAAGCAACGCCTAAAATATTATTCCGATTGAAAATCTATTTTATGGTATAATTGTACTATAAAATAGAATAAAATATTAAAATTTACTACCATCTCCTGTTTTAATTATAAAATCTCGTTTGTAGACTACAGACAAGATCTTATAATTAATATTGAAAATAGTATCACGGAGAGAACAAACACCGACGGAGCGTAAAGGCACATGGAATCAGATAACTTCTGTTCCTATCTAAAACTCAGCAGGTTACATGACCCTATTTCTCCAGTCCGGTGCCGTCCAGGCAACAACTAATCAAAACCTGAACAAAGTCGCATCAGGGGGGGGAACCTTGAAGAAAGAGGTAATTTCGTATTTACGTGACATAGTCTTTTATCAAACTTTATATCTGAATATATTTAAAGTAAACTTCTTGGGCTAAAATAAAATATTTGTTTGGACAATAAAAAAACATAATTTAGTCAAGCCATTCACGTAATATTGGGTCGCAGATGCAAAAGGACGTCACGTGTGCTGCTTGAGACAGCACGAAGCGAAAAATGATTGGTCCACGGCAAAGACTCCTTCAAGTTGGGAGCTGCGGGGCGCGAAGGAAAGGTTGGTTACTTTTGGCTCTTTATCCAAATTAAAAAGGAAAAAGAAAGAGAAAAAGGTTAATTCTGGCTTCTGGGGCCTCAGCCTGCGAGCGGCTCCTTTCTCGTTCTCAAGAGCGCATTAGATCGGAACAGCAAAGCCCCAAAGCGTCGGCAAGAGAGATATATTGGTCATTCATTATACTTATTCCCTTCTTTCTTACTGTCTCTCGTACCGCATCTCACCGTACACGCCGTGTCCACTACATTTAATTCTCACCATATTTTTTTTGGGCCAGATCTCACTGCATTTTATTGATTCCACTTTTGTCCCCCGGTAGGGACCAAAATATAAAAAAATATAAGAATAAGGAAGCAGCAGAACAGAATTCCGATATAAAGGATCACAAGTATCTCACAACTCTATCTAAAGGACCAATGGAGAATCTCCAAGATAGATGTATTCCCTGAAAAATGGTCGTGCTACTCCAAAGACCAGATAGCCTTTTTATAGTGAATTACAGAGAGAAAATGGGTTGAAAATTCAAAGATCAAACACTAATCCTAACGTTGGGGAGGGCTACCCTCTTACTTCTCAACTAAAAATATGCCAACAGCTCAACAAGAAAATATTACCCCTCTCGTTTTAAATATAAAATTTATTTTATATATAATTTATATTATAAAATTTTTCATAGTATAAATTATACTATCTCCGGTTCTTAATATAAGACCCTGTTTGACTTTTATTTTAATCTAAATATAAGACCCTAATTCACTTGTCTCTTAT